TAGCAAAAGAACGTTCAGGATTTAGCTTAAGAGTTTCAGCTTTATAGAAGGTAATATCAGGTGTATTAACTATTGATTCTGCATCAGAGCATTTAATCGCTTTCTCAATCCCCTTAATAGTATTAGAAACTTCTATCCTAGCATCTTTGGTGCCTTCTGCTGAAATTAACTCAAGTGTTGCTCCAGTACTAGCAATAAGACTGTATAGAATTTCTGGAAAATATTTGGCCGATAAGCGTTTCTGATATTCGACCTCAATATAGATCTCTACTGCTGGTGATGAGTTAAGAGTATAACAATCAGCAATTTTGTTCCATTCGCGATATTCTTTTACAAGAGTTGGTAAATCTCCCGGTCTTAAGGCTGAAAGCTCTGCACGAATAAGATCACGATTCAGTTCTTTAAAAATACTAGGATTTTTACTATTATAAAGAGAAATAATGTGATATAGATAATCACGAACTCAATAAAGCATCTGAGTAAATACTTCAGCGTGTACTCCTATATTAATATTACTAATTGCTATAATTGCATCAAAATACTTAGAAATTTCGAAGGAGATCCCTGACTCTATAGTGCTTGTATAGATTACACAATCAAGACCACTCCAGGTAGTATTAATATCGGCAAAGTCATCTTGGCGTTGTTTTCCATCTATTTGGCCAAAATAGACTCATGTCAAAATGAATGAACTGTCAGGTTTTTGCAACTTAGATGTTTGGTTAGCTAATGCTCAAGCCTTTTTGCAGGAGGTCATTGAAAAGACAACACACTTACCTTCTTGAAACATTAAAAGGCCTTTATGTATAGCCTTCGATCCTTTGTTTGGATCATAAAGAATTTTTACAGACTTGCCTTTATGTAGCTGGTATTTATTATCAAAAACTTGGACGTTCTCACCCTGATATTATTTTAAGAAGGTAAGTGTACTTTGATTAGCAAATGTATCTATAGCAACCACATGAACAGCTAACTTTAACAAATCTCACATAACATTTTCAGATTCTCGTGTATGGATTCCACTTGCCATTTGACGCATAATACCATTTGCTTCATCTAAAATAACTACATAAGAATGACCCCCATAAAGATTAAGACGATATGTACTTTCGACCTAGACAATGATAACATCCCAGTTATGTATAGCTAAATTACCTTTATTTTCCTGATAATGACATACATGAAGTCCTAAATTCTGTAATACTTCAACTTTACTTTTAGTTTCATTACTAAGAGTTTTATGATATGATATCCAGTTAAAGCAAAGTAAATTTGCTTCACTTTTGGCTAAAGAATTGAGAATCTCTCTTAAAGTTTTTGTTTTTCCACTAGCAACAAGTGATCGAATTAGAGTTGTAGTGGGTTCCTCACTTATGAAATTTGGATAAGCTTTGGGAGCATCTTTCATTTCTCTGACATTAATATTTTTTCCGGATAAATCTACAAGTGATCATGGATGTTTTGCGATATTAACCAATCTTTCATTTAATCCCTACTTAGGCTTTACTTCTGATTCAACTTTGTCTGATACCTTATCAAAGCTAAGGCCCTTGTGCTCTGGCTTATATTGTTTTTGCTGATAGCACTTAAGTATAAAATATTCATTCTTTCAAATAAAGCCATAAAGTTGATCTTTTTTATGTTTAATATCATATATAGGGCATTCTTTAATGAATTGTGTTTGAAAGTTGATGAATCCCTTTTCGATTCTTTCAATCTGGAGCCACTCATATTTTTCAATAACTAGATTGGCACCTTTATTCAAGGCATTTTCATCGTCAATAGGTTGGAATTTCTCTTTTACTGGCTCTTCTAAAGAAAAGGTTCGTGGCCAGATCACAGAATAATTCTCTTTAGGCTGAACCAGATAATCATCTAGATTTTTAAATCTATTTTTAACAGAAGAAATAGCAGGTCTTTTTGTGCGTCTTTCTTTTGATGATCCAAAAAGTCAGAGACTAAAACGTGACTTGGAAAGACCAACATCAATAAACTTTGAATAAGGTTTCTCAACTAATTCAATAACTTTTTCAGTAAAGCCCTTAAGTTCTCTATAATTTACGAATTAGGCCCGAGAATAAATGATATACCAGCTATATTTCTCAGCATTTGATGATCTCGCTAAGGCAAAAGAATTTAATAAAGGTATACAATCTGGTATTATGCTTAATGCATCTGCACAAGCAACTAAAATTCGAGACATCAAATCTCTACAAGTAATTTTTTCACTATCTAGAGAAGGAAGTTCAGAATTATCTGGATCAGGCTTTTGTCTTGTATCAATATCAATAATCAAATGAAGAGGCTAATTTCCATCAATATATTCATGGCCATCAGGTATTTCATAAACTTCAGAAAGATGGTCAATCACTATATAACCTTTTCCTGCTACTCGAATTATATATTGAGAATAAAGGCTTTGGGTTGATATACATCTAAAAGCGCAGTATCATTTTTATTAGCTGAGCTAGCACGGTCATTAGATGGAAGCCAGTATTTATAATATGTATGTTCTCTATGGGCAGGTTTATAGTCAAGATCTGTTAAACTTTTGAAAATTATTTTTGCCTCATTATATTCAGCCAATTTTTGGTTTAGGTATTGTTGTTGTAATGTTTTACGTAGATGTTTTTTTGCCTCATTAGATAGACTCATTTTATTAATTTGTATATGCAGTATATAGTTATAAACTAAAAGTATTATACTTAACCCGAAAAACTTTAAAATGAAATTAATTATTCTATACAATTATTATTGTAATAAATATGGGACTCTATAATTGCCCTTATATTCTTAGAACTGGCAAAGTTTGCAATCGAGGTTGTTATCGACCAAAAGGGTGTAAACTTCATTGGAATTCACCAACTTGGATTTTTTGCAAAGAATGCAGTAAATTAACATATTTTACATATGGTATATGCTCGAATCATGTGAGTAAATATCAAAAAAGAAAATATTATCATCAAAAAAAACAGGCCGAATTACATGCAAAAATTGTTATGCTTGAAAGACATATACCCGACTTACCTGATTTACCCAATTCTATGCACAAAGTATAATTATATACCTCAACATCTTGATTTGCCCTATAGGTATATATAAACTCTTTTTTTTGAGTATAGAAGAGAAAGGTGTAATTAATTTCGATTTAAAACAATAAGTAGGTTAATGTATAATCATAATCTACTTATTAATATATATTATTTACATACTTATCATAGCAACTGTCTGAAAAACTAGAAAATCCAAAACCAATAACTTCACCTCTATTTTAGATCTGTTTCTGAATAAATATAACCTATCAGCAGAATCAGACCTGCTTCAATTACGTGCTCACGCCGATGAGCTTGGTACTATGCTACCAGATTGGAAGGCTTGTAAAGATGTGAAAGAGGCTCTCTGTTGACGCTTATTCAAAGAAAATCAAATAGGAGCTCTGGTTCCAAACAACAAAAAAAAAAGGCTTACTATCAAGGAAAGAGCTCAATATTGTGCAAAAACTAAAGATGTGTAGGATATTTGGTTACATGCTTTAGACTTAGCTGTTCCAAAAAATAATACAGATGAGACAATTGTGGCAGCCAGTTCCTGTCTATCGCAATTTCGTAAAGAATTAGCAGAAGCTAGAGTTGATCCTGAGCAAATCAATATATATGCAAAATTACCAAATTCTACTCAAGCTTCTAACAAAATTCAGAAGAGAAAACTTGAACAAGGATTAATTCTTCAACCTAAAACGCCTAAACACTTCTCCTTAGAAGAAGGGCTTAGAAGACTTCAAAATATTCATAATACTGAGACCCCCACTCTACAAGACCTCACAGATGTGATCATGATGTTGAGTATGAGACCTGTCGAAACAACTACTCTTCGCATTATCCATTATGAGCCTGACAAATCAAATCTCCCGGAATGGTATAATCCCGATTACTCTTAGTATTGTACTGGATATATTAAAAATAAAGGAGAAGCAAAAAACAATTTTGAACTCCGACTGTTTCTATCCATGGAAAAGAATCCAGAACGTGCAAGAGAATTGCTTACCTGAATTCAAAATGCAATAGTGATTGAAAAGTTGTGTGATCCTGTCTATAGTATTAATGGAAAATGTAATATAGGTGTATTTAGTAAATTTTTAAAGTCATATGGTATTATAGCTAAAAGATTAAGAAAAATCGGAGGTAAATATGCTTCTAGAGTTCATGGTGGTCAAAATTCAATTTCACAACATCTCGCTTTCCTCAGCAAGATTGTAATGAGGCATAAGATGGATCGTCATGATTCTGGAATGTATTATGCTGAGGGTGATACTTCCGATTCTGATCTTGACCCAGAGCCTAAACCTGAAACTCAAGCTTTTATAACTAAACCGATTAATAAAAATATTTCTACATCTGAAATTGAGGATATCTATGACTTATATGGGAATATCTAGATCCGAAGACTTATTGTCTTGCAATAGATTAGTAATATAATTAATTATTAATTGTCAGATGCGATATGTTTACTAACCACGCTTTTTCACTTTCACCATATCTACAGTAAAATCTTTATCATCATTATACCATTCAGAGTCAGACCCAGATAAGGACTCAAATGTGGTATCAGTTAAGATTTTCTTTTTTCTCTTAGTTTTGCATGGTGTATGACTTCTTCGAGAAATATTGGGGTATATTATCGTATTTATAATATCCTGCTGAATCTCAGATTTCACTATTTCCAGTAATCAGTGAAAAGAGATCCATCTGATACCTGTTTAGTGATATGGAATACAGCTTTATCAGTTTCGGTCATTGTAAATGTTAAATTATTTTATTAATACGAATTTAAAAATGCATAGTATATATGCCCAAAATTAATTATCCAAACATTGGTTTTTTTTGATTAGAGATATACATTATTTGGGAATAGCGCAACGAATTACTAGAACAGATCTTATATTTTTAGAAATTGATCGATCTCTCTATTCCACTTTGTTTGTTAATCGGCTTTGGTACAAGTGTGTATACTACTACTATGGAGAGAGTTGAGTTAAAAGGTAATGATATTCATTACGGACATTATTTCCCAGTTGAATATAATTATTGTGAACGATATCGAACATGGTTAGAAAGTTTTATAAAGCTGATATATGAGAAGAAAAAACCTGTCTATACCTCAAACCTGAAAAGCTTAAAAATTTCACATTATCATTCAATTACACACAAATTAATTAGATTTATTATAAATTACTGCCTAAATATAATTCATTTAGACTTTAAAAAGTGCATAGGCATTAGTGATAAGACATTAATTAAAATAGCTTCATCATATCCAAATTTAAAATATCTTAATTTATGGGATAATCGAATGATAACTGATGAAGGACTATGTCAAATTGCACAATCATGCAATAAATTGGAATATTTAAATATTTCTTATTGTAATGGTATTACTGACAAATCATTAATAAAAATTACAAAGTTGTGCCATAATTTGAAAGAATTTTATTTTAATGAAGTGTATTGGATTACTGATAGAACTGTAAGTTGTATTTTAAACTCATGCTCTAATTTACGATGCTTAGATATACAGAGTAGTCGTGGAAAAATCAAAGATGCTAGTATATTACTACAAACGCACCTCAAATTAGAATACTTTGATTTTGCCCATGTTATGGCTTTTCGAAATAATTTCCTTATTGTAGCTATTATCGGATCTTTTCCAAATTTAAAACATTTTGATATTTCTGGTAATGATATCAGAGATGAGGTTGTTGAAGCAGTAGCTAGTACATGCTATGAATTGGAATATCTTGATCTTGAAGGGTGTAGATTCATTACCGAATCATCAGTATGTAATATTATTCGATCATGTCCCAAACTTCAGCATCTTGAACTTGGATTTTGTAAAATTTCCAATAAAACCATTAAAGAAATAGCCTGTTCATGTCCTAATTTAAAATATCTTGATTTGGATGGCTGTGAAAAAAATGTTAGTAAGAAAGTTGTAAAACGACTTAATCTGAGTATATATATTGAAAATTACGATTTATCATATGAATAGTCCAATTCTGAATCGTCTGATACTTCTGATTCTGATCCGATAACAACACACAAGCAGAGGGTGAAAACACATCTAATGAACAGAATCTAGAAGAGAATCCTATGAGCTCATATTTGCCTCCACCTAATCCAATCTTTACTGGTATATTTGATGAAAGTGATTTTATTTCTGTATTCAGTAATTATATCAGAATATTATCAGGAATGACTGACTCAGAACGGAATAATTTATTTAATAGTATCTTCCGGGAGATTTCATGACAAGAAGTTTAGGACAGATAATTAATTGTAACTTTTTTTGGCTAAAGATATATAATACATAATATAAATTGTTATCGTGAAAGTGAAGAAAGTCAAAGCTAAAGTAGGAATGCAAAAAGTTGTTGCCTGAACCAAGATTTTTGGGGATCTTTATGTGTAGTAATAAACTTCTCAAGAAAATCGGTAGCATAATTAGCAGAAAGTTGACTCCTAAAGAAAAAGATAATAAATTTGTCAGAGAAGAAACCACAGCTCTACTTAAATTGGTCATAATCCCATCTACATTTATCTCTAACATAAAAATAATGCCTGTCTTAGTAATAAAAAATCTATCACGATTCCACCTGAAGTACTCATAGAAAAATCTAACTCTAAAACACCTAACTATATTTTACTGGGTAATAATTGGTTTTATGATAGAAAGTATAATAACTATGAACTTCAAACATACATATCTGAAATTGTAATTGACACAAAGGATGCTTTTGTAAGAACAACTCTGCATATTAAAGATCTCAACGGATCTGAAGTATCAAAAGCTGAAAAAAGCCAAGAGTTATAATATCAGTTAATAAAAGAGATATTCATGAATTTACAAAATACTTTCTGGAAAATCAAAAGATTCATTGTATCACAGATCAAATATCTCTACAACTTCCGATTCGGCCACTTCCGATTTGAGTACTTCAGACATCGATTCAGGTAATTCTTCCACATCCAGTTGGGAATAGAAGTTATATATATGAAACGCCCTATTTTAAAGCGTAAAGTAAAAGGTAAAGTTAAATATTGACTTCGTATAATGGAGCTAGTATCTCTGATACAAATCTCATCGCATTATAAGGCAAAGCCTATGACTCTCTAAGTCACCCCTATGGGCCTCAGGGGGCGATGTTATGTATAAATCCAACATAAGCAAATCTAAGTCTGGGTCACGATCCCATTAAATCACATGCACTGCTGATGCCATGCATGTCTTGGATGAATCGATCGATCACCATAAAATAATACCCAGACTTATTATATTTTTGCTCAAACTTTCTAGCATATTCTCAGTAGCATATATGTAGTACTTGGTCTATATATCGAAGTTTTTATAATATAAGGAATGATATGTTAGTCTTGCTACTTCTACTAATAAAATAGGATAAATTTATTAATGATCGATTATACATAACTTTATCACTAAATATACTTGGAGTAGTAAAATTATATCTGATACTTAACCAAAAATTGAGTAGCTTTACAAAAGTCAAATTCTAAATAAGATCATATATCGCCCTAATGTTATTTTAGAAGTTGGTTATTAATTGTATGAAAATCCACATATATGTGTATATTGATGGGATTTTAATGTGATGGTTAGCATTATAATTGAAAATATTCATCAGATATACTAGCTTTAGCATAAGCAACCCTTCAGCTAATAAATATCACTTATCTTACTCAACGTTACCCAGACTATATATTTTTAAGTTTCTAGATCCAGGTTCCCATTCTCAAAATCAGAATTTATGTCCATGTTTTTGATGATAAATCAATAATAATATGATAATAACGTAATTAACATTTTTTTCCAGTATGTTCTGACCTTTACTAACAGAGACAATGAATCAGATTCTAAGACATGAAATCTTAATCTTGTATAAAAAGGATTCAAAAATCTTTAGTATACCCCTATATCATTTTCTCTGTAATAATATCTCCAAAGGGGGCATGGCTAATAAAACAATAAGTCATTCTAGCTACTTTGTAATTGTCTTTAGTAATAAATCGCAATAACCAATAAAAAAAATTAGGCATTTGCCAGCCTCCGGCTAATTCTCTCAAAAACAAAACAATGTATCTGTAATTTTTTTGAAAATAAGATGTCAGTATCATAATAGCCTAATTAATTTGTTTGTACATTACTCCTGCATTCATGTATTTATACTAATAATCTTTTTTTCTCGTTATAGATGTCTTCGATTAATGTTTCAGAAATTGTACCATTTTTGGCTTTTGTGTTAATAATGATATTCGCTAAGAAAATTCCTGTTCATCTGATTTTCATTGCCATGTGCTCTGTTACATATGTCATCAGATAGCAACTTACTGTGGAACTCGACACATGTATAGAATGATTAACTGCAGATCTTATATCATGAGATGCCACAATTGTGGTCGAGTGACAGAGAATCCTGACAATGGTAAATACTGTAATTAAAACCGTTAATGAAATCACTACCAATTATGAATCTCTTTGTGACCAGTTGGACCAAATAACTAAGACAGGTTATGTGGCATCATTAATATCCGAACAATTTCCATTTGTACCTACATCTAATTCTTCCTGAAGATCTTCTGGTTCTTCTCTAGGTTCTTCCAGTAACTCAAGCCAATTATCTTTTTCTGATATTACCTCAACAACCAGAAATTACTTTAAAATTCTTTTTAATAAGATTATGACAGAAAATAATTATTCTTTAGATGATATGTATAATATGGTGTCTGTTGAGATTTGTAGTCTTGGGATGGGAAGGATTAGTAAAGAAACTATAAAAAATTTTTATTATAATAATGGAGATTTTAGAGGTAGTACTTTAAATAAAATAGATGCTTGAGAAATTCTTCCCTTGAAACTCGCTACTCTTAAGTTTTTTACTTAGCTCTCCCTAGCCCATTTTTATATATCTACAAAATTAATAAAGATATATTTGTGATTTGATTTTTAAATGCGTTCAGTCACTAAGAATTTTATTTACCTCATTAGGAAGATCAAATTTTAGTAACAGGTAAAAATGAATTACATATTGTACAGTACAATGTTATATAATGGTAACAAAAAATGTACTTGCAGAATAATTAGAAATTCTTTATAAGGCTTATCATTATACATAAACAGGTCACAAACACACATTATCCCTTAAATTGTAATACAGGCAAATTTGCCTGCGTTTATTTTTTTAAACTTTATTTTTTTAATAAAATCTTAA